GGAATATTTTTTTTAAATGGTGATATATTAGTGTGTGTGCAGCTAGGGAGTCTCTCCAGTCCATTTTTCATTCTTTTGGTATATTCATGCATGTTGACTCACCAACTAGAATAACTAAAACTGGCTCTAGTACTATAGATTATGTCGTATCGTCTTTTGACCCGGAATTCGTTGACTGTAGAGTCCTTCACTCAGGTTTCTCTGATCATGAGGTAGTATTGACAACGTTTTTGCCACATTCCAAAGGCAAAAATACCTCGCGCAAATTGGGCCGTATTTTTTCGGATAAAAATTTTCTAAATTTTCACCACCTATGTCTAACAACTGAGTGGGTTGTCCTCTCGGCTGACGTCGATTCCGAATTTTCTAGATTTATAAATACCTTGTCTAATCTGGCGTGCAAGGCGTTTCCTCTTAGGCCTATCAAAAGTAAGCAAGGTATACCCTGGTCTACGACCGGCTTGCGTATATCTGCAAAGAACATGCGCTCATTATCTCACCTTAAAAAAATCACAGACAGCGTTTTCCTTCATAATTACGTGAAACTTTATAGAAGGGTTTATCGTAAGACTATAAAAGCTGCCAACGACATTTATTATAGTGGGAGGCTAGCCAAATCCGGTAATGTTTCTAAAGAGACTTGGGCTATTGTAAATGACTTAAGGAATAAGACTTCTTCGTCTGGCACAGTCTTTAATTCACCTGAAGATTTAAACACTTACTTTGTTAATGTGGCTAAAAATTTAGTGAACACCATAACTCCTTCTCATGATTCACTTTCATATCTCCCTAAAGCAAATGAGAATTTACACAGTTTCTTCTTCACGCCCGTAGCATTAGATGAGCTCCGTAGTACAATTAAAAGTATTAAAAATAAATTCTCATCTGGGACTGATGGGCTTACCTCAAAATGTTCTCTGAACTTCCGGAATGCACATTAATCTATCTTACTACTTTAATTAATGAGTCATTCCAAAAAGGAGTTTTTCCAAACTGCCTTAAGACAGCAAGAATTATTCCTCTGCATAAAGGAGGAGATAAAGATCAAGCTTCGAACTATCGCCCAATTGCTCTCCTGCCCACATTATCTAAGATCATTGAAAGATTGGTTAAAAAAAGGCTTCTATCTTTTCTCCTTAAATATAAAGTACTTTCTACCCATCAATTTGGATTTCTAAGTAACAGTTGCACAAATGATGCTATGTTCGATCTTTTTAATAATCTATACTCTAGCCTGAATAACCATCACTCTACAGCTACAATTTTCTGTGATTTCTCTAAGGCTTTCGACTGTGTAAATCATAATATCTTAATTAACAAATTGCAAACTATGGATTCAGGGGAGTGCCGCTCGAATGGCTTAAGTCGTATCTTGGCAACAGAAGGCAGCTTGTGAGGATTGATACGTCTATGTCTTCTTGTAAGCCTATAGAATATGGTGTCCCTCAGGGTTCAGTACTTGGCCCTATTTTATTTCTGGTGTTTATCAACGACATTGCAAATCTAGACATTAGCGGTAAAATCTGCCTCTTTGCGGACGATACTAGTTTCACTTGGAGCGGTCCAGATGTCACGGCACTATATGATACTATATCCAGTGACTTACGCACCATTAAATCTTGGTGCGATTCTAATCTCCTATGCCTCAACCTTTCAAAAAGTAAAGTTTTGTCATATAAAAGTACTATACAACCTTTTGTACTTAATAACATCACTATTGACGTCGTGGAGATTCTTAGGACTTGTTGTGGACAACTCTTTAAAATGGGACTTGCACATCGAAGCCTTATCAAAGAAACTAAGCTCTGCCTGTTTTGCGCTAAGATCAGTGTCTAAGGAACTTAACTCATCAACCTCTAGAATGGTCTATTATGCCCTTTTTGAGTCGCATCTTCGTTATGCCCTTCCATTCTGGGGTACTTGCTGCGCGACAAAATTTGATCGTATTTTCAAATTTCAAAAGAGAGCAGTTCGATACTTATTGGGACTAAACAGTAGAACTCACTGCCAGAATTTCTTTAAAAATTTCAAAATACTGACTCTTCCTTCCATATTCATTTTTGAATCCGTTTGCTTAATCCGCAAGCACATATTCTCTATTCTGGAAAGGCCTTCTCACAACTATCCACTTAGGAATGCTGAGCACGATATTTATCTGCCAACCCCGAGCTCAGAACTAGTTAAGGGCTCAATACTGTACAATGCCAAGAAAATGTACAATCATTTGCCTTCGAATATCAAGTCACTTTCATTCTTTCCCGCATTTCGCAAAGCTCTGAAATCATACTTAGAGAGAGCCCTATATGCGGTAAACGACTTTTTTGTTGATGTTTAATCATGAACAATTTAGAATTTTAATTTTAATATTTTGATCATCTCACACACTGGTTAAAGGTCTAGTATTTAATATTTTATAACTCTTGATTTTATGTTATTATAACATGATTTTATCCATTTACAGTTTTCCTTTTGTAAAATTTTCTAGATACGCCTGTGTTCTGCAATGTCCATATATGTTTTATTTGTAATTTTATGACGTATTTTTTTTAATTGATTTGTATTGTATGACATTTTTTTATTATTTATTTATATTTACTTTTAAGTATATTTGTTTTTGTGCTTTTTTTGTTTTGCTTTGTCGATGAAGTTGTTTTGGCTTTTTGTACAATAAAGCGTTGTTTTTTTTATTATTATTAATCTTGAATTTATTTAGAAAGTCGTTTTCAAAAGTTACAATTAATTTTAGTAGGTATTATTACCCATATAACACAACACAATCCTATAGATATTTTGAGGATATCCACCAAGGATATAGTAAATATCTTAGGGATATGCAAAAACCAGAGGAGGATATTTATGGGATATCCAGATGGGAAAAGAAAGTCATCTTCAAGACATCCCTAGGCAAGCCTTTTACGATTATTTGGGATATTTATAGGATAATACAAGGATGATGTTGGGAGCATTATAGAATATTTTTAGGACATTATATGAGGACTGTTATTTGACAATACTTACTTCATCCTTAGTTTATAGTAAAAACGTTCGCGATTTAGTTTTATTTAGCCACATTTTGACGTTATTCATTGGATATTTTTATTAACAGCTCTAAAATATACCTAAATATTATATCAATGAATTTTGCGTCAAAATTTAGAAGTTTATTTGTATGTGTTAAGAGCTTTCAATTTATACTGTACCATCAAAAAAAAACGGCGTTCAATTGGCTTGAAAATTACGATCGATGACATTCCCCATATAATTTTACATACAAAATAACAGCAATCTTCATTTCCAAGCCACCTCTGACGCCGTTTTTTTCGATCGTATGGTATAATACCTTTGTACCATAGTATTATACCAGATTATACTACCCTTTATGGAGTCTAGCAGCAACAGTTTACATCAAAGTTCGCACACAGGTTTAATTTCTACAGGTATACAGGTATAATTTCTAATACCACACATTTCAGAAACTCACAATAAAACACAAAAATAGGATTTCTGTTCGAATAGATCAAACACGAAAATGGGTTTAGGGATAAAGAACAAGCGCTTTTCAACAAATTTTCACCTATAATTTTGTCACAAATTTTTCATCGTGAGATCCTGAGTCGTTCGTCGTTTTTCAACATTAGTTGAGGTTAGGATAGAATTTCTGCTAGAACAAGGCTAGAACTATGAGTATAAGAAAAAACTAAGCAAACTCAACCAGTTTTGTTAGTTTCAGTCATTTTTAAGCCCATTCAATATCGACAAACGACCGAATTCACCTCGAATTTCACTAAATCAAAGAATTGAATAATACACGATGCAAAAACAAACTGTCGAGATGGATTGTGGGAAATTTTTTGTGCGGGCGTTTTAAATTCTCTGTATTACTGGGAGTGGCGAAGCTCATAAATATCCAGATTATCCAGGAGATACCAACAAGATATTTTGTTGCCTTGACGTAATATATATCTATCTGTATGGTTTATTGCATTTTATGTAATATAAAAAGTAGTACATTATTTATTTTTCCTAAATATCTAGACGATATTGGTTAGGATATTTTATTATCATGAGCATGTTTGGATATCTCAGCTGGATGTACATTAGATATACGACAGAGATATCCATAGGATATTCTATTCTGAGACATCTACAGGATTTCAGGATGTCTGGAGGATATCCTATAGATGTCTTTATAAGATGATCTTATAATGGGACATTCCGACATTCTATGAATATCCTGCGGATATTGTGTGTTATATGGGTAACTGGGAACTAAGACTGGGAACCACCCAATGTGAATAATAGAGGGTGGTCCGAACTGTATTCGGGAAACCTTGGTAGCATATTCTCCAGATAAAAATAAGTAAAAAAGTTTATATAATTGTATATGTTCCAAAATGCTTCGTTTGGGAGATACAAGGTGTAGAAATTTCATTTTTATTTCGGGTAAAATTGGTATTTGCGTGTTTTTTGACATGAGAAATTTGATTTCGATATCACTATGGCTCCTACTTGTAGAGGGCGCCACCTACGTGCGTTTTAACTGTTTTGAAGAGGAATAACTTTTCATCCGTACCTGTATAAAAATACTAAGAAAAAAAATGCGTTTTCGTAAAAAAATTTCTTTTCCGTAAAAAATCGTAACGAGTAGAACCAGTTAAAAATATGTAGGTGGTGCCCTCTTCAAGTTGGAGTCATATTGACATCAAAATCAAATTTCCCTTGTCAAAAAACTCCTAGACCCCAATCTTCATCCAAATATTGACATATAGTTCAGAAATTATTTGGAAAAAATCGAAATAAATATGAAAGTTCTACATCCTGTATCTCCGAAACTAAGCATTTTGTATAAGGCAACCTTTTCATTTATTTTTATCTGTAAAATATGCTACCGAAGTTTTCCTGACTACCCTGTATACTGATATTTAAATTAAATAATTTCGATTCAAAAAATATTATTCTATAAAGCAATCTAATAAAATAATTATATTTTTTTGTCGTAGTCGGTGTTGAAAGTTGTTGTACCAGACGAACTCCACGGCTCAATATTAACGAAAACTTTACCGGCCCGACCTCATATGACTACCAAAGAAGTGTGCAAAATTATTGCCCACAAAGCCAGAATTACCAATCCTCAGGATTACGCTCTTTACAGACTCACCGATGGCGAAGGTAAGCTTCCTTTTTATGTTAAACAGGAAGAGTGATCATTTTGCTGTCACCATTGACTCTAATGCCGGGTCCAGACCAAGGCGACAAAAAGAAAACACGATTTTGAGACAAAAACCAGATAAACTTACGACAAAAAATGGGGAATTCTGACAAGACAAACTTGAGACAAATTTTCCACACCGCAAGAACAAAAATACAACAAAATCAAAAGTTTAGTTGTTGCGAATGGTTTTATTAAATAACATATCAGATCATAGAACTAAAAAAAGTACTATTACATAAAACCAGGTGATACAATACTTCAAAATTAATTTTAACATAATATCAAAACCGAAAAATCAAACTGTAAACACAACCACACTTATCACAACAGAAATTAACACACACTTCCGCGGCAAATGTCCAAGAAAGACTGATCATTCTGATTGGTTCTGGTCCGGTCGTAGCTCACGTCGTATTGTCGGTAAGCAAAATCCCTGTCCAAAAATTTTGACGATCAGCGCCATCATCCGTCATAATTGGGAAACTTTTGCTGGAACCATTTTTAATATTTCACTTACATGGCCCTGGACACTTTGATCTTTACCTTTACCGACTCGAGACGGGACATTGAAAAGTCTCCGAATTTTGAAACAAAACAAAAATCAGATAAAAATGTCTCCTTTGTCTGGACCCGGCATAACAATCGACATTTTTCAATAAAACTGTTATTTTCTTGTTACAGAGACGATGTTATTAGACAACGAATGTCCACAAGATTTCATGAAAGAAGGAAAACATACCATGTTGGCCTACAAAAGGATAGACGCGAAAATCGCCTGGCCTACACAGGATAAGCTCAAAATCTAGTCATTTGTTTATTGTTACTTTGTTGCCTGTCCTGTTATATTACCACAAGCCCGTGTAAATACATCCTAACCTAACTATTAATATATAAGATATAATATAGTGTAAAAGTCCTGTAAACAAGAAATAAATCCAACAATCCTTTTGATATAAACATTTAACAGTTTTTACTACTCTTGTCACTCAATACTATATTAGGCTACATTATTTATTTCGATAAACTACTGTGAATTATGTCTTTTTAATCCAATTTTTTTAATTTATTAAAGTGTACTAAATAAAAAAATAATATATTCTTATTTTGATATTTTATTTAATAACATTAGAACCTACATATGTCCAAGGAATATACAGGGTATCAAAAAATAGTATATTTAACTTTGGTAGGTGATTCTACAGATAAAAATAAAAAAAAAGATCTTATGGTAAAAATAAATTATTTTTATTTAAGCTCGAAAGCTTAAGTAAAAATAATATATTTTGTTTATTTTTAAGAAATTAAAATTGGTAAACCATTTTTCCTGAAAGTTGGTACTTTTACACACATTTTAATGCCAAAGCGAATGATTGTGTAAAATTCCGTAACAGCCTTGAAAGCGTACTTTCTATTAGGGTAGTGAGTAATATACTGGTGGTACTTCTTTTAGCTTTATAGATAGAGTAATTTCAACAAATAATATAAAAAGCTGTATATATATATATATATATATATATATATATATATATATATATATATATATATATATATATATATATATATATATATATATATATATATATATATATATATATATATATTTTTTTTTAATGATTTACTCGTTTGTAGCTCGTCCATTTCTTAAAAAACTGGGGTATTTGGCCACAATACACTATAACAAATTTTAACAACAATTTGTCAGATATTTGGGTATAAACCAAGTATATACCCAAATTTCTTTATTATACCTATTGGGTACTTACCCACCGCTAAAGTTTCAGATTTATTTTCATCACATTTTCAAGAATTCATTAAATTACATGCATGGCTAACAAAGATTGACAATTTGAAGAAGACTAATTAACCACAGTCACATGTTTCTGCGACGATTCATATAAAAATAAATAAAAAAATACAGATTGAACTAATTTTTATTTTCATATTATACCTACTAAACATTTTAAATAGAATAACACTTTAGATTAATTTTAACTTATAGCTATTACATTTTCTTTGAGTACCTACGTAAGAAAGAATCACAGATAAAATTTGTGCAGTCTACCTAAATTTATAACTATTTCAAATAGTTGGAAGACAAAAGACACACCTATTTTTTCCCAAAAAAAAAATAATTGAGCTGACATAATAAACTCATATTTATCCAGTGTTAGTTTTTATGTCTTTTTTAAGATTTTGTTTGATTGTACAGTATGCAAAATTACCGTGCACTATGCAACATACCGTATAGAAAATAGAGTATGTACTCCCTAAAGACCAAAAACATCCCCATATACAGGGTGTCCCAATGTAGGATATATCTACTGTCTATAGATAATTTATCTCTATGCAAAATTGCGTTTGTCCGCTAGGGGGCATCAAACTTTAAAAAAATAAACACGTTTTTCAGATATTTTAAGAACCGTTATTCCGACTTGAATGATATTTTAGGTGTCTATGTTTTGCTAAGTGCTTTAACATTTGCCTTTGACAAAAATCAAGAAAAAGTACGGGAAGGTTGAAAACTACCCCCACCCTTACATAAACTTTCCTTAAGTATTAATATTTTCCAACTCCACCGACGTGACGACAATTTTTCTATTAGAATAAATAAATTAATTGTGGCACATCAGTTAAATTCAGGTGAGTCGAACTTCGTAGTTTTTGCATCTTGTTAAAAATATATATTTATCTAAATCAGATGATATAATTAATTGTTAAAAATAAATGTCTTCTATCACACAAACGCGAATGAAGTTAAAAAAGTATAGCATATAAGTACATTTTTCGTAAATTGTTCTGTCCCTTAGAGACATGTCTTTTTTTTCTTTTTATTTAATATAATATCATTTTAAGAACCCTGTAAACCTAAATTAATTTAATATCACAATTACATAGTTGCACTAATTTAGTGCATAATATAGGTACATTATATAATTTGATCAACACATGCCGTACACATAATATACGTACTGTACTAACCATTCTACTCTATATGAGTCGGACGTGGATTAACATAATATATGTATATTTTATACCTTTATATAATTTTAAAAATGTCAATGTCAATATCAATATGGTGGCTCCATGACGCTTAAAGCTATTCCAAGTTGAGCAGCATAGTATGTGGATATTATAAGAACCTGAAAAAAATGTATTTTAGTACACCTCCTAAAAAATTCTACTACAGTTTATTTAACACCGTATACGAACCATAACAACTAAATGTTCGGACAAACAAAAATTTATTAAAAATTTTATTTTCATTAACTGAATTATTTACATTTAAGAAATACATTAAAAATATATTAAAATCTAACATTTCTTATGAGTATTTAAATAGTTTAGTTTCTATAAACATTAAACTAAACTGTAGGCCAATAAATAAACAAAAATATTGCACAATATTGTGAAAACTAAATGTTCGGACACTTTAAAAAGTAACTGTACTAATATGGCGTTACATCGGCATGAACTTTTGCAACCACTGCAAGCCTGTTTGGCATTGTCTTTTATTAATAATTGACGGTTGACATACGCCAAAAAATTTTTTTTGCCATAATTCACTTAATATCATCGTCAAATGGGCAACGGTTTCTTGGGAATCGTGGCACAAATTTTGTTTTGTTTTATGCCACATGTCTCGATAACATTAAGGTCCGGACTGTGCGAAGGCCATGACCTTGTCCTTCCCACTTGACACAAGAATATTTTTCAAATTTTTTTTATTTTTTGACGCATCAATTATCCCTTCTACCACGTCATACTTTTCTGGGCCTTATATATACACCTTCAAATCATAATGCCTTTAGAAAATTTCACCGTCCTTTTGAGGCAATCTTTATCAAATAGACACTCTAGCGGTGTTCGATTATATTTATTATATCGATATTGCTTCTATATCACTTGCCATTTGCGATTGGAATTATTAGCGTCGGATTGGGAAATAATTAAATTTTTTACCTTAATGTCATTTTTGTAGTTTGTGACACCAGAAGTTCCAATCCGACGCTGATAATCCTAATCGCAAACTGCAAGTTCAAGGATTACATCTGCACGCATACATGATCTTTATGAAAATGGACAGTGAAATTTCCTAAAGACATTATGCTTTTAGAGTTTATGCCCGCAATGGGTCTAGGAAGGTATGAGGTGGTAGAAAGGCACAACTAATGTGTCAAAATATCAAGAAATTTTGAAAAACAGTTTTGTGCCAAGTGCGAGAGACCTTTACCAGGATATGAATTTTATATTTCAACAGGATGGCGGGACATGCCATATGGCTAAAACTACTAAAAATGGTTTAGGGACATGAAAATCAAGGTCCCCTCATGGCCTTCGCATAGTCCGGACCTTAATGTTATCGCGACATGTGGCATAAAACAAAACAAAAATTATGCCAGGATCCCCAAGAAACCGTTGCCCATTTGACGATGATATTAAGTGAATTATGGTAAAATTTTTACTCTGGAGTATGCCAATTATTAATAAAAGCAATGCCAAACGGGCATGCAGTGGTTGCAAAAGTTCATGCCGATCTAACGCCATATTAGTACAGTTAATTTTTAAAGTGTCCGAACATTTAGTTTTCACGATATTGTGCAATATTTTTGTTTATTTATTGGCCTACAGTTTATTTTAATGTTTATAGAAACTAAACTATTTAAATACTAGATTTTAATATATTTTTAATGTAATATAATTAAATTTAAATGTAAAAATATACTTAAATGTAAATAATTCAGTTATTGAAAATAAAGTTTTTTAATAAATTTTTGTTTGTCCGAACATTTAGTTGTTAGTGCTCGTAATAGTAATAGACTGTATTATAGTTAAATGGTGATCGTTGTATTTTAAAGTTTTATATATTGTGTTCTACTGGACCGATTTTGATGAATTTTTAAGCAATTTGTATCTAAATTATTCGCCTTTTTAAACTCTCTTTCTAAGTTAAAAAGTTCCCATCTATGAATCATTTTCGTGAAAGTTTGGAACACCCTATGGAATATGTTAATAAAGCAAGTAATTTGAAAATCATTTTATAATCTATGTGCATCTTTTCTCGAAATTACGAAAAAATGATACTGTCTTCTTCAAAAGCGAATATCTCCAACAAAACTAAAGATATTGAGATGAACCAAAAAACAAACTACGGAGAAAGAATGTACCTAGATGATAAAATTAATCAAATATAATAATAAAGGCATATGCATTAGCATTTACATGGAAATAACATTGAACACATCGGAAATAATTGATATATTAGACATAAATTCGTTCATTGTTACTAATAATAGCTTGGTAGGGCAAATCATTTAACCTTACCTGAGCATGTGGTATCGGATCCAAGAACTGATTTGTACCAATTATAAAATCTGATAGTCCAAAAAGCACAGCTCCAATACATGTCACCAATTGTAGCCAAGTCCAATCAGTCTGAAATACCAAACACAATAATATAACATTTCGAAAAAAAATGTTCACTTTAAATTTACTTGTAAACGTGCTGCTGCTCTCCAGATCATCAAATTCATTAGGAAACAATATATAGGAACTCCAACCACAAAAGTTTTCGCTAAACCTGGATACAAATGGGCGACAGCTTAAAAAAATTCGATTACTAAAATACCTTATGATTGAAAAAAAACGGCGTCCCGTTGGTTTGAAAATAAACATCGATGACATTCCCCATATGAAATGACAGCGATCCTCCCTTCACAGCCATCGCTGACGCCGTTTTTTTTCGATCGTACAGTATATTAAACTAGTGCAAATTGGAATTTAAAATTCCATTAAATAAAAAAAATGAATTAAGAATTAATACTTTAAGGGCTCGAACTCACTGACGACCAGGTCGCAACGACCTGGCCGTCGGCTGCGGCCAGATGAACGACCAGTTTCAACAGAGTTGTCAAATCTAACGATTGTTTACGTTTTACCAAAGAATATTATAGGTTTTACCCTTTTTTACCAATTAGAAAATATTGTTTCAGAAATGTTAAAATATTCCAGTTAACTAAAAAGCGAAGTTGATATTCACAACAAACAAAAAGCATTGTGTACGCGTGACCGACAAAAAATGAGATATTCTGTTTCTTTTTTCTACTGATATGGTGCCCTTATCGACTTTAGAAGTAAACATATTAGGGTCATCGTAAAAAAAGATCGTCAGACACTGGCTATAAATATAAGCAGGTAGAAAGTTTAGCTTCCAGTTATTTCAATGTTTACAGTATAATGAAGAATCTACAACAGTAGTTCTATTTTTATGAATGTTTAAGTTATGGTGGGTTCATACAGCCAAATAAAATAAAATAAGAATAAAATAAAATAAAATAAGAAAGTTGGTTATATGGGATACCGTACATGCGTTCATACAGCCAAATAAAATAACAAATAAAATAAGAAGTCTTTATCTTTTAACTTCTTGTTTTATTTTATGTGAAAACGGCTTTGCGCATGCAAAAAAAACAAGTGGTTGTAGAAAAACTTTAAATATTATTTTTTTTTATTTTTTAAACATCGAAACTCAAAGGTATAATAACAGGTATCATACTAACCATAAATAGAGTAGGTATGCCATATAAAAATGTTTTGAGTTTTTACTAGAATCGACCTTTGATAAAAAAAGGGATTAGATTTAAGTTTACCTTTGATCCAGTCTGTATACTATTTCTTTGGATTTTCTGCACGTGTGCAAAAACTACACTAAAACACTATATCTTATAGAAAATAAAATATTGTGCCTTGAATTTGAGGTATTTCATCTGAAAAATTATTAATTTGGAAGAAAACCGGCAACAAGCGGCAGAAAATAATAATATTTCCGTGCAGTCTTCTGGTCGCAACGATCAACAGACGGCCAGGACGTTAGTATGTGCCATTTCATTTGATTTAATGGATTTAATGGTTTTAGAGGTAGGTGCGGCCTGGCCGGTGCGACCTGGTCGTCAGTGTGCTTGAGCCCTAATTTAGAATGTTAAAATTCAAAATAGCACACATTCAATAATTTTCTTTTAAAACAAGTCAATATAACGAGTTCGAACATTAGCAGCATATACTGCAGACATATAAGTAAAAAAGAATTCGTATAAATGTATGTCCTAAAATGCTTCGTTTCGGAGATACAGGGTGTAAAAGTTCAATTTTTATTTCAGTTTTTTCCAAATAATATCTGAACTATAGTGGATATTTGGATAAAAATCGGTGTCTGGGTATTTTTTGGCATGAGAAATTTGATTTTGATGTCAATGTGACTCCTGGTGACTCCTACTTTTAGAAGGAACCACCTACATAATTTTTAACTGGTTTGAGGATAATAACTTTTCGCCCGTACCTGTATAAAACAACTGAGTGATAAATATAAATTTCTCCAAACACAAGCTCCCTTCAGACACGAATTTTCATCCAAATATCGCGGTTACTTCAGAAATTATTTGGAAAAATTCGAAATAAAAAATAAAAAAAAAATTCCTTAATTTTATCTGCAGAATATGCTGTCGAAATTTCCCGAATTCAATTCGGACCACCCTGTAAATACGCTACTGGATCAATTAAGTAAAATTATCACAAAGAGATATGTGTAAACAATTAGTTTGTTTATTTACAGTATCATTTCACTCTACTTAATATAATCCTTATTTCAAGATGGGACAATTTGTAGTAAATGGTTAATATTGAAAATAATTAAAGACATCATTTAAATGTAACAAACTTAAAAAAAAATCACTTTTTACCTCCTATGCCGAAACAGAAGGACACCAATCCCAACCGTGGTTTTAAAGGTATTAATTGGAATGCTATAATGTAATTGATATGTCCCACTGAGAAAGCTAACATGGCTAGTAAAAATAGTTTATCCCAGAGTATAAGCATGTCGCCTATACAGTCTGCTACTAAACCCAGGAATATTCTTCTTGGATATACGGATCTGTAATAGAATAAAAGAATTGTTAGTTGTCTCCTTTTCTAAATACACATTTCCAAAAAATGATTTTATTTCCACATCTTTTTTTCCATTTCTGGCAATGTAAACTATCTAAATTGTTACTTGAGCCATTTATTTATGAATCCCCAATAATGACAGACTATCTGAAAATCTTAGGAAGATTTTGGGAAGATTACTAAAAAACCTGAGTGACCAGCGACGTAGCGTGGCGTCAATAAAAGGGGATGTAATAAATAACTAGAATTAATATTTTACCAACATAATAAAGTTTTCTTCTTTTGTTTATTAAATCTTTAATTTTGAATTTACAAAAATAAAATATATAAAAAATGTAACAGGTTAAAGAAATAATCAATTTAAAAAAAGACCTAAATTTCAAAGAAAGGTAAAAAAACTGTGAACGTATACTGGGTGCGTCTCAAAAGTGGCTCACCCCTATAACTTTTTTTTTCAGATAAAAAAAAGAGATTTGGTATGTTAGTATATGACAAAAATTAGGATTGATTGACGTATTCAATTGTTTTTGGTCACTTCCTTTTTCACCGGAAATGACTACAGCTTTGGTTTTTAAATGGCACCTTCCGCATTTTTCTACTTTATTCGATAGAAAATGACATTCTGAATAGAATGACATATCATATGTTAACTTTTTATATCCTCGCTTAATAAAAAAATCCTATTTTAAATTTCAATCTAGAGTGTCTTGGCTATATTAAAAACACTAATTCTTAATGTTTTAGTGTCTTGTCCTGGCCGGTTAAAAAATGCTTAAATCGTACTTTTAATCATTTCTCAATTTTTTCAAATGGAACGAGGGTGGCTCATTAGCATATTTAGTATTACTTGGTATTTCGAGTCAAATTTTCTTTACGAACCGCAAGTTATAATTTCAAATAAACCATATGCAAAAATGTCAAAAGTTGACATAATATGATATGCCATTCTATTCAGAGTGTTATTTTCTATCGAATAAAGTAAAAAATACCAAGCAGGGTGCCATTTAAAAATCAAAAGTTGTAGTCATTTCCGGTGAAACAGGAAGTGACCAAAAACAATTGATTACGTCAATCAATTCTAATTTCTGTCATAAACTGAAAAAATAAAAAAGTTATATAGGTGAGCCACTTTTGAGACGCGCCCGGTATAATAAAAATGTAGTAATACTTACTGTTTTTTGAATCCTACAATAACTATAAAATACATCAGACTGATAATGGGAGCACATTTCCTTAATATAATAGGAATTGTAGGGGTAGTACCGTACGGTTGAAGCCACCAGAAGTAGACTATGACACTAACAAAATATGGCAGCAGATGTTTACCTACGCTACGGACCTGGAACATTTTAAAAAACCCTATTTGAACAAAAAAATTTCTAGAATGCCTCGCTTTATGAACCGGTACTGTACAACTAATTTTGTTTATTTATCGAATAAAGTACGGGCTTCAGATAATTTTGTTTAATCGCATGTCTCGTTACTAGACCAATCAGTTAGCAGCGCATTGTTTTTATGTGGTAATTACTCAGTGGTATATATTGCCACATTGATAAAGTCCGCTTCATGTGGATTTTTTTATTATAGTTGATTGAGAATAAAATTAGCGTTTTTTGCTCTAAAATAGATTAAGTAGTTACTTAAATTTTTAGGTGACCGTCAAATTTGACATTTAAAGTATTGTTAAACTGAAAAAAAAGAATGAATAACAACTTTGAAAGGGAAAGTTAATTTTATTGTAAAAAATTTGACTTAAGTGATGCAAAATCTAAAAAACTTCTATTATATCTCCAAACACAAAATCATAAAAAAATTTCTGCGGAAATGCATCATTCGCTTTTTTCTCTTTAGAATAAATGAACTCAGTTACGTAAAAACATGTTCCTGCTTTACATTCTAAACACTCTTCTTGTGTAGATATGAACTTAATCTAGTAGATACTGTAATTTAGACATCAATGCCGTACCGTGAAAAAAACGAAAATAAAGAAAAACGAACCAACAAATCAAAACGATACAAAGCAATCGAAACACGCTGTCAGCTAAAACGCGTCTGGTTACGAATAATTCCAATTTCAAATATTGCTATATAATATTTTAACAATAAATGAAAATTGTCCACTTCCACAAGAAGTTTTTTGCGTGTCTATGAAAAAAATATCTAGAATGAAAAACAGAAACGTGTTTTCATGTAACTGGTTTCAGCTATTCTGAAGTTGAAAAACTGAAAATAATGCATTTCGTGACTTTCTATTCAAAAAGGCTTTCAAATACTAAATAAACAAATATTTCTTAAATAACTGATTTCTGCTAAAGAAAGTTGAGCCCTTGATAAAAACGAAGAAAGGCGAAAAATATTCGATTGTGTAGTCGAGTCACTCACCTGTACAACGACGCCTGGCGTCGTTACCATGACGCTGCAGTCGATCGCACTAGGTATTGAGAAAGGTCGTTTGGCAGAGAGCTCTTTTTACTGCTACAGCATAGCATAGCAGCAAAAAGTATAGATTGCACAGAAATCTTGCGCTTGCGTTTCAAGAAGCACATTTTAGTGTAGTCGAGTTTACCGATCAGATGCATATTCATACAAATATCACACGGTCAAACCATATCTATTAAATTATTGGATTTATACCACAGATAGAGGAAAGTAACCTAATATGGAATAGTATCCCTAAAGGTTGATTCTCTCTATACCTTCCATAGCAGCTCCCTTCCGTTTATATAAAATATTATATCATGTAAATGAATAGGACAATAGAAGTACGGTTAGAACGTATAGTACGCTTTGCACACTATACGTTCTGTTTCCGTTCCGTTCCACATCCTTTCCTTCCATCAACCATATATTTTTTTGGTGGACGGACTGAAGCATATCGGAAACTGCGTTGTCAAGTTCTTACATTTGTACCAGTTCTGTTAACATTTTGCTGATATTTATTCATCCTTTCACCTCTTAATTAAATCTATTACCTTTTTTAAAAGATACAATTTTTTAAAATAAAACTTGCGTAACGATATAAATTGTGCAATAAAAGATATGGAACTGATACGGAACGGAAGCTTACGTAAAGCGTTAATACAATAAAAATACGGAACGGATATGGCAGGGTATAGAGAGAATCAACATTTATGGAATACCGCCATTTCTAAGAAATAAATAGGCCTAATCGCGAAAGACCGATTTTTAATATCTTTCTGGCATTATATCGCGCAGTGAGAGTTTTTTCTTTCAGCACTATGAGCGCAGTTTTCTTTCAGCGCTATGAGAGTACTCAGAAAATAAATATTTCTTGATAGGTTATTGCGAATAATATTGTATATTATGATTTAAGACAGTGCATTGTTAGATTGTTTTAAAGATATTTTCTTGTCTGAATTGGTTCTTTTATAAACTATTTTATTAATGAATGGGGACCTAAACTTGTATATTATTTAATGACACACAAACGTCAGATGCATATTTGTTGTCAAGTAATTATATTTCTTTTATTCCAGTTCCAGTAGATTAAAAATTTGGAATATGTATTCCTGTCATAAAAATTCATATCTGCACGGAAATACTGACATTAATGCGGGAATCATAAATAGACTGGTAGAACGTGGTAAGTTAAATAGATAAAAGTGATTAAGAATATATCTGTGCAGTGGTATTTTTTTATACTTATTGTAGGTAATTTATTTCTTTTTGATTGTTTTGAAAAGCTTATCAATTAAATTAACAAATAAAAATTAATGTGCCATGTTTAGAATGTTTAAATTTAAGATATATTTCTTTAGCTTGGGACGGCATACACTTCGTGGATGAGTATGACCGGGCTCCACCATTTAACAGACTTACCTCGGAACAACCCTGTATACCCGTCAAAAATGTGGATTGTACCAGAAGGCCTCAAGGTTTCGGACGGTGGGCAATGCCAAAGCTGGTATAAAATTGCACTTTCGATTGATTAATGAATTTGACTATATCCAGTGAACTTTCCTAAAGGTACGTCCATAGTGCACCAGCTCTCCGCTTTCTGGTGGCCCGCTTGCAGTAACATAGGAACGCACTATGGCTACGCGCATACTGTTGTTCCTCTATTTTTCACCGCTAGTCTGCCGTGATAAAGCGAGAAGCCGGTGCATTATGGACGTACCCCAACTCGAACTTCCTTAACTCAAAATATTCTTTACTTCAAATAAGTTTTGCGACTACCTCATTTAGATTTTACACCCTGACAATGAATTTTTATTTCTATAAGCTAATTATTTTTATATCTACAAATAGAATATTTCTGTGGAATGTAGAGTTTTTAGGAGTTGAATTCCTGAAGTGCACTGATTATGTCTTTAAGATGGTAGTACCTATAAATAAGTTATTTATATTTTAGAGAAGAGAATTACACGATAAAGATGCTCAAGTAATCTTAGCGGCATTGACAAGCATCTGCGACCTAATACACGACCCAGAAAGAGGGTATGAAGCTATTCATTTAGGAATTGTAGAAAGGTAAAGTCTGTCTATCAGTGAGATACAATAATATGATCGAAAAAAAAATCGCTGTCATTTTATACAGAAAATAAAATGGGAAATGTCATCGATCGTTATTTCCAAGCCAACTGGACGTCGTTTTTTCCGATCATACGGTGCCTTTCGACAGTGGACATCCTAATGTTGCCCTATTCATAAATATACGTAAAAATTAGGTTTTGATTAAAAATATGTATTAAGAGTCTATCACGCTGTACTATAGTAGTTCGGGTCGCTCTCAGGGGTCGGGAAAAGCGGGTGTGTGACCGAAGGAAATATAATTATATTTCAGAAATCTGCCTAAAACGGCCTGCACACGTAACGATTTATTGTACTGCGCGTTGAACTGCAGATCGTAAAGAAAATCGTACGGCTTGCAGTACAGCCATTTTTTGTACATACGATGTAACACATTGTACTGCCGCAGTTCAAATTATTCACTTTTCGTCGAGAAGGACTACCGTTCTGTCAAGAAATTCAAAGAAGAAAGCTGCTGTGCTGGTAGCTGCGGTATTGCTGATAGATGAAGATGATGAACAAAAGGAAATCAAAAAGCGAAAATGGTGTAAAAAGTGGTTACTGGAGAGAAAGAAATATTCACATATGAGGTTGGTAAAAGTGCTGGAAAATGAAGAACCTCTTGATTTTAAAAACTATTTAAGAATGGATTCTGATGCCTTTACGTGTTTGATGGATTTACCTAGTTTGTTATAAAATTACCAAGCAAGATACAATTATGAGAAACGCAATAGCTGTTGAAGAAAGATTGGTTGCAACACTAAGATATTTAGCAGCAGGATGTTCTTATATTGTTTATTTTCTTTTTCATCACTTCTTGTGATGCTTCTGGGAACAATTCCTTAAATTTTTTAAACAAAATTTCATAACTTTTATATTTTATTTGCATAATCGTTTAATTTCAAATCCCGTAGGCATCTATTTTCTCTATATTGTTACGTTTTTCGTCGGTTCCGTGTGGATAGAAAGTCACAATTTATTTAAACACAATTTATTTAACACTAATTAACAAAAACAATAACGATTAAAAGACTTAAAGAACTATTTATAACTTATTTACAATGTATCTAATTATTTACCTAACAGAAATTTATTTTGAATTAGCGCGGCGATTGTAACTGTACGCGTCTATCGGTTATTTATCTCTCTCTTCCTTACGCCCCGGCGTCTGCTTATATAGGAGAGAAACAGACAATCCAGATTTGTCTAGTCAATTCTTATTCGTTCTTAGAACGTCGGCATCGCTGGGCGTATGAGTCATAGTCGAGTGGCCAGGCCTAAGGCTGAGTTCACACGGCACGGGTCCGCAACACTGCCCCCTTCTTAGGTACATGCTCGTCCCGAGATGTACACGGTGAATGAAGGTATTTGCAAAGCTGGCCCCTGGTACATTGAGAAGTCTGGTAGAAAAAGCAGTCTACAGTTTTCTCGCCCGATCTCAGCTTTGGGTTATAGCAGCAAACGAGGATCTCGATTCCCGTAAATCTAAACAAGACTTCAATCATGTTCCGGATTGTACGCCAACTCAAACCATCGAGTCCACACACCAGCTTCGGAATGGCTAATCGTGTAATGTTGTTGCTTAGCAGGGCTTCTCTCAGTTCAATAAGGGTCTTCCATAGATTGAGATATGTCGGCTTACTCGGGGACCATTCCTTGGTGACCAGGTAGAAGATGTGTCTTGCTTGACCATGTGTATTATCGGTTAGCCTAAGACGCTTCCAACATATGGATCCTGTCGGCGTAGCGCCCAAACTTCTCATTGAACGTCGCAGCGATTCCTCTGGACATCCGCAAATCTCGGGCCACACAGTGAGCGAGCGAATAATCAGGATTCACGGAAAATAGGTCTCGTTGTTCTTCTTTGGTTACACCATAGCGAGCCTTCTCACTGCTGTTGTATCGGACCATGAAATCGTCAAAGGATATCTCCGAATCAGGGGGATCAAAGCTGCAGGTTCTCACGGTCCCAGCACGATCTTCTATTTCGCCTTGGTAGGGGCTCAAACGGTTGAAATGAACTATCCTCGGTTTTCCTTCTGGCAGTTTTCTGATACGGTATACGACGTCATTAATCCTATCCATGACTTTGTATGGGCCTTCCCACGAGGATTGTAGCTTCGGAGATAATCCACGACGTCTCTGCGGGTTGTACAGCCACACCAAATTCCCTGGTTGGTACCCTCCATGTTCAGCTTGAATATCGTAGTGCTCCTTCATTCGGTCACTAGCGCTTTGAATATTTAGGCGGACTCGCTGATGGATGTCGTCCATCCTTTGGCGTAGTCTATGGACATAATCTTCTCCGGCGAAATCTTCTCCCGGTCGGCAACCAAACTTCAGATCACAAGGTAGGCGCACTTCCCGTCCCATAACGATGCTGGTTGGAGTTTGCCCTGTGGATTCTTGGACGGATGAACGATAGGCCAACAGGAACAGGTGAAGAAATTTGTCCCGGTCTCTTTGGTGGTCAGAGACTACTTTGGCCAAATAACGATTGATGGTTCTGTTCATGCGTTCAACCATCCCATCGGATTGTGGATGCAGAGCAGTCGTCCTGGTCTTGTGGATGTTAAGGACTTCACAGACGCCTTGGAACAGATTGGACTCAAAGTTCCTTCCCTGATCTGCATGAGGCTCCATGGGAACACCAAACCTGCAGATCCATTCTTTAACAAGGGCATCGGCAATGGTGGACGCTTCTTGATTTGGCAACGCGTAGGCCTCGACCCATTTGCTGAAGTAATCCATTACTACCACAATGTATTTGTTGCCATCGTTCGTCTCCGGGAAAGGACCAGCCACGTCGATCGCTATTCGTTCGAAAGGACTGCCTTGTACTGGCGCATTGGAGCTTTACCGCGCTTTTGTGGGCCATTGATAGCAGCGCAAACGTCACATTTCTTGCACCAAGCCCTCACGTCTTCTTTGCAGTTCACCCAATAGAACCGTTCTCGCAGCTTGCCAAGTGTCTTAGTAACACCAAGATGTCCACCGCTGGTTCCATTGTGAACTTCCTCCAAGACCTCCGGGACCCTCTTCTTTGGAACGACGATCTGCCTTCTCTTTTCTTGTCCCTCTGCCCTCTCAATCACACGGCGGAGTAACCCGTCATATATTACCAAGGAATTCCACTGGGCGCTTCACGTTCGGCGAATATCTGCAAACTTCCTCCCACGTTGGTCTTTGGTCTGCGTTTTTCCAGTTAATCACTAAGCCTAATTCTGGGTCATTGATTTGGTCGTTTGCAAGATCTTCGGGTTGCCAAGTATCGTTAACCACAGTTGTTCTTAGGAGTTTCGCTTCTTTTTCTTCTGCTCGGGAACAATGCTTACAGTCCTTATCGCAAGGTCTTCTGGCAAGTGCGTCGGCATTTTGATGGATCGCCCCAGCTCGATGTTCTGTGTCGAAATGAAATTCTTGTAATCGTTCAATCCATCTAGCTACCTGCCCTTCAGGATTCTTAAACTGCAACAGCCATTTCAAAGCAGCATGGTCTGTTCTTAACAAGAACTTTCTTCCATAGAGATACTTGTAGAAGTGTTCCACTGCTTTAACTACTGCTAGTAATTCTCGTCTGGTTACACAGTAGTTCCTTTCCGGTTTTGACAAGGTCTTACTAAAATAACCAATTACTTTTTCTTGACCATCCTGGATCTGAGACAGAACGGCGCCTAACCCAACATTGCTAGCGTCGGTATCCAATATAAAGTTTCCGTTGCCAAGAGGATAGCTAAGTATGGGCGCACTAGTCAGGGCCTTCAATCTTCGGAATGCCTCGTCAGAATCTGAGTCCCAAGAGAAACGCCTTTCGTCTTCGGTAAGTCTGGTCAATGGTTTTGCGATGGTGGCGTAACCTTGTACATAGCGGCGATAGTATGTGCATAGTCCCAAAAAGCTTCGTAGTTCATGTTTGTCTTTGGGTATCGGCCACTCTTCCACTGTCTTGGTCTTCTGTGGATCTACCGCAACTCCCTGGGAGGAGACTACATGGCCCAAGTAGTGTGTACCTTTTCTTGACACAGATGACATTTCTTGGGGCTAAGTTTCAAACCAGAGCTCCCTAGTCGCTTGAAAACTTCTTCCAAATTCTTCAGATGATCGTCAAAGGATTTCCCAACCACTATGATGTCATCCAGGTACACGAAACAGGTAGTCCAGGATAGTCCCTTTAACACAGACTCCATTAGTCTCTTAAAGGTAGCTGGCGCGTTGCACAATCCAAAAGGCATGACAGTAAATTGCCACAGTCCGGAGCCCACCGAGAACGCTGTTTCCTCTCTGTCTTGGCGCCATGTCGACTTGCCAATATCTTCAGATCCAAAGTAGAGAATATCGTCGACCCCGCCAGCGTGTCTAGAGTATCGTCTATCCTCGGCAGGGGATAGCTTTCCTTCTTTGTAACATTATTGAGCTGCCGATAATCAACACAGAACCTGGTGGTACCGTCTTTCTTCTTTACTAGTACTACCGGCGATGTCTACGGGCTGTTAGATGGTTCGATGACACCCTCTTCTTTCATTTCTCGAAGGATTTTGTCAGCTTCTTCACGTTTGGCGAGTGGAAGTCTTCTCGGATTTTATTTGATTGGTAGTGCATCTCCGGTATCAATTTTATGTTGTACTAAATTGGTACGACCTCTCTGCCCCGCTTCTTCTTTATCAAACACATCTTGATACTTGATTATCAGGTTTCTCAATTTTCTACTATTTTCGGGAGATAATCCCTTAACGTTTACTAACTCCTTCACCATTTTGTCCGGAATTTTTGAAGTCGAAACTTTGGAGGCTTCCACGCTTCGAATGACTGAGGAGACCGAACAATAGTATTCATTCCCAACCACTATGATGTTGTTGTTCGTGTTCATTACTCTCACCGGTACAGTCTTCTTCGCTCGTAGCAGGGCTTTTCCAACAGCGACCCCTCGTCCTATTTCGCTGTCATGGTTCCTTGGCTCCAACAGAATAATACTCCCATTATTCAGCCATAGTTACGTAAGCCATCGGAGAATGTCTGTACTACCAACCGCTCCATAACATTCTCGGGCGTAGCAGGATACGCAAGGCGAACGAGGCGGGCTACGTCGGCTTCAAACTCCTGCAGAGACTCATTTGACTTTTGAATGCGATTTTTTAGCTGGGAATGATAGACATGTTCCAAATGAGCTTGGCCGTACCTCATTTCTAAATGTCGTACCAATTGCTGATAATCTCCCTGTTCCGATGGTGACAGATGTCAGTCGCATCGCCTCGCAATGCGACAGTCAAAGCGGTAGCCTTTTCAGCGATTGTCCATCCGTTCGCTCTCGCAGCGACCTCAAACTGGCAAAAATAATTGGCCCAAGCGGTTTTTCCGTCAAACTGTGGAGGTTTCATCACTGATTTTGATGCATACCTATTTTCGACTAGTTTCCGTTCTTCCGATGTTTCTTGACGTTTTGGTGAATTTGCCTTTGCTATTTGTTCTTTCAAAATTTCGATTTTTCTATTTACATCGTCCTCAATTTGTGTTATTTTGTCTTGTAGTTCTGTAGAATTATCTATAATCTGGAAGATTCCTGGATTTCTGTTATCTTTTCTTCTAAATTAAGTATTTTATTATTAAAGTTGGCCTGTATGTCTTTAGAATTTTCCGCAATCTTATCTTCTAAAGAATTAATTAAATCCTGGGAATTTTTTATAATTTTATCACTGATTTTATCTTCTAAAATATTCATTTTATCATTTAAAGTTTCTTGCAAATTGTCGTATAAATTGTCTTGCAAATTTTTTAATGACGAGTCAAGGTCGCCTTCCAGCTCGAAGTAAAATGTGTCAGGATCCTCACCTTCCTCCACCAAAACGTCTCTCAGTCTAACTTGCAAAATGCTTTTTTTTCCATCTGTCTCGCACTCTCTCTCTTCCAATATGCATTTCAGTTCAGACACTTTCAAGTCTTTCAACAATTTTTTCAGGGCTATGGTCAGTCTTTTTATTCTTCTAGTCTATCACACACGCCACACTTGACACCAATTGTTACGTTTTTCGTCGGTTCCGTGTGGATAGAAAGTCACAATTTATTTAAACACAATTTATTTAACACTAATTAACAAAAACAATAACGATTAAAAGACTTAAAGAACTATTTATAACTTATTTACAATTTATCTAATTATTTATCTAACAGAAATTTATTTTGAATTAGCGCGGCGATTGTAACTGTGCGCGTCGATCGGTTATTTATCTCTCTTCCTTACGCCCCGGCGTCTGCTTATATAGGAGAGAAACAGACAATCCAGATTTGTCTAGTCAATTCTTATTCGTTCTTAGAACGTCGGCATCGCTGGGCGTATGAGTCATAGGCGAGTGGCCAGGCCTAAGGCTGAGTTCACACGGCACGGGTCCGCAACAATATAAATCAATAAAGTCTTCCCAGAACGTCTAATTTTTTAAAACTATAATATTGATTAAACCAAAAATAAATAAAAATTATATCATAACTGCGCGCTGCGGCAGGGAGTATACTCCACACGTTCAGACTTTCGTTCAAACCCCACCCCAGATACGACCCATTGATACGATATTTTACGGAAGCTCCGTACTGCAAACGATTTGACGACTGCATACTGCAAACCATCCAATTTCCCTACACACACTACGATTTATCGTTAATGCGGCAGTTTCGATGGATATCGTACTGCATGCAGTACGATAAATCGTTACGTGTGTAGGCCGTTTAAGTAAATTTAGATGTAGAACTATAATTTTAAAACGAATTTATTATTGATAGGTTGGTTGATCATACAACTCACGAACTGCCAACGATTAGAGAACGTAGTACGCATTTACTAAAGGTTTTGGCCGAATTGGCAGAAGGAAAAGAGGCCATAGTAGAAAATCCACATCTTCTAGCAAACTTAATAGACAATATAGATGACGAATTTGCAGAAGTCAGAGTACAAACGGCGGCATGTATAGAAATGGTGGCCGCATTTTGGAAAAGTATTATTCTGAAAGATAAAGATAAATGATAAGTTACATACTAACATTTTTACAGCTGCAGACGTTCTTGTCGAAAACGGTTTGATCCAAGTACTTCTTGCCAACCTAAACGACAAACCGGAAGTCGTTCAAATTCATTTGGAGACGCTAAAACACTTAATATATTGCAATGGGAAAAAAATCGTCATCGAAAATGATGGATTCAGTATTTTAGTTAGTATACATTTGTGAAATAATAGCAAAGAGTTTTTAAAAATATCCTGACATAGTTCATATCAAATAAACTTTTAGTCACGTGATTAAGCTTGACCGGCACAACTTTGCCCACTTTTACTATTTTCTTTTAATCAAAATATTTTAGAAAACAAAAATAATCTACATATATAAAATGCTAATATTTATCTGTGTCGTCTCTACTGAAGTAACGACTTGCTCTAGAAAGTTGCCTTTTTTACTAAAAGATAGCTAATTAGCTCTTCTAAAAACTGTCGTCGCCGGATTTTTTGTTTTTCATTTAATTAAAAAAAATAAAAAGTTTCCTGATTTCGTGGCGGATGTGCCAAGCTTCAACTTGTTTAATCTGTTTTGTGAGTTTAATTATAAATATATAAACAGTTATTATTTACATCAACAAAACGCACCTCCTTAACAGCACTTAAGGGACATAAAGGACCACTACTACCGCTCATTCAACCTCGACATACTTCGAGATGTTTTGGGCATAGTGTAGGGTGTTTTAGGGTGTCTTAAAATTCGACATAAAAATACAATTTTTAGGTAAAGCTTTTACAAAGAGACGAGAGTGAAATACTAGCAAAAACCTGCACATTGCTATCGATTTTATGCAGCATTAAAGAAGGAAGAAAACTAGCCAGCAAAGAATTCAATTTGTTACTAGAATTAAACAGACTACTACATGACGAGGTTAGCGTATATAATTTCTATTATACAGTTATATTATTACGCCAAATTTTTTTTATTAAAAAACAAGATGCCAACACTAATCTGTGCATGTTTAAATTCGCCATACCAACGAGAAATTGATGTCACTTTCATCCTTAACGTATAAATATAAAAAATAGTACTTGACTTGTTAAAAAGAATATACCCAGTGGCGGATCTAGGGTAAAATACGTCGTGGGCAAAGAGAAAATTTGGCGCCCCCACAATTCAAAAAATGTGTAGACCCCCCCCCCCTAGATCCGCCACTGATATACCACAAAGACCCCATCTCTTGGTGTTTATTCAATTGTCATATATTATATTACTACTAATTTTAGAGGGAATTGATACACACTGCCGCTGCAGAAACAATCATGTTCTGCACCATAAAGAGCGCAGAAAAAATTACGGCCAGCAAAATAAATTCAATGCCCAAACGTCTTGTCCAACTCACCAACAACAGGCTGAATGGACGAACTCAGATGTTCGCAATGAAGGTAAAGTTTCATATCTAAGTAAAAAATGTATTTTTGGTTATATTGTTATGCCAGGCCCTGGTCAAGGCGACAAAAAGTAAACACAACTTTGGGACAAAACCAATAAGACAAACTTGCGACAAAAAATGGGGAATTCTGATAAGACAAACTTGAGACAAATTGTCCACAACGCAAGGATAAAAGTACAACAAAGTCAAAAGTTTAGTTATTGCGAATGAGTTTTATTAACCATGTGTGATTTCGCTGGTCTCCTACTATTGGCAGCACACGCCATCCACACTGCGCCGACAACTTGTCGAAAAATATACGAACAAAACATAGACACTTTGATCTTTACCGAGTCGAGACGGGACACTGAAAAGTCTCCGAATTTTGAAACAAAACAAAAGACAAAATTGTCGCAGATATGTATTGAATTTGTCGCAATTTTGTCGTAAAACATAAATTTTTCTGTCTTGTAGCTGTTTTGTCTGCTTGGTCTGGACCCGGCATTACCACTTAACGATGTATAATTTCTACTTTCTTGAACATCAAAGTTTTTCTGCAGATTGGTAAGGAATATGTAGTATAATATGTACAGGGTATCAAAAAAATAGTGTATCTAATATCGGTGGGTGATTTTACAGATAAAAATAAAACAAAAAGTTCCTAAGAGCATATCTATGAGCTAAAATGCTTCACTAAAAAGTTGCAGCTCTAGAAAGTTAATTTTTAAAAACATTGTTAAACCATTTTTCTTGAAATTTGGTAGTCTTAGGTAGTCGCCCACTAGACAGCGGCGCGACGCGGCGCGGCTCGGACTTTCCGTCAAGAAGATGAAAGACTTCTCTAGCAACTTTTTTCCGTCTCCCGCGTTTCGGCGCGTGGCGGTGTGCGTACTCACAACGGAAATAATTTTGCATCTCGACTCCCTTCAGTTGGCTTTTTGACTAGGAACTAGTGATACGTATCAATGGTACAAATGTATTTTAAAGGTAAATTAGGCAACATATTTTCATAAACGAATATGATATTTTTTTCAGTCTTCCCTCACTAGAGACAGATGGACGAAATGTTTTTCTATCAAAGATTTAATATAATTGAGGGGTGTAGAAGCAAAACCGGTAATCTCCACTTTTTGACAAAAGTGACTATCTCCAATTTTTAAATTCTAATTACCTAAATATATAAAAAATAGTTTTTTTTCATCACATAACTAATATCAAGGCTAATATACACATCAAAAAATATGATGAGTAGAGATACCCGGTGTTTTGCTTCTAAAACCCTCAATTGAGCAGTTCGTAAAATGTTTCCTTTATATTTTGTAATACTGATAAAGATGCTTTTGTAATGTTTTTGTAAATCAGGAAAAAGATGGTAAAATTCTCCAAACTTTGTTTTTTTGTTAATCTTATTAGTCCAAACTTTCCTTTTCTTCTCACCTGCTCTTCCAAGAGCACAAAAAATACGCTTTCGTTCGTACTTGAACTCATTGCTTTAAAAACTAAACTACAGTAAGTAAAAAACACTTCGACTAACTAAATAGCGTTTCCGCGTTTTAAAAGGGCGCTATAGTGGGCGCAGTCCCGTCGCAGCCGGAAAAAATTCTCTTCCCAGCGCCGCGCCGTGCCGCGGTCTAGTGTGCGACAACCTTTAGACAAATTTTAACGCCAAAGCGAATGGGGCAGTGGCGGACTAAGGGGGGGCGGAAGTGGCGGTCCGCCCCGGACCCCTTCTTCTAGGGGCCTCCAAATCTTAATAAGCAATTTGTAGTTAGAGTATGAACCATTATACGCAAACTAAACACAGTATAAATGGAAGCAGATATTTACTTAATTATCAATTATTAGGCCCCAGTAATTGTCAATGGCATTTTTTTATTTACGAAATTAAATCAAGGGGTAATTTTCTTTGTTTAGAATATCGAATAATTAGTATTTTTTATATTCGAATAATTATTATTTATTCTTGGACCTATATAGGAGTATACCGCGATTTTGTAAGGGGCCCCTTACAAAATAGCGGTATTTACCTGGTACGGTCGCGAAAGTAACGCGGCTTATATGTGGAACCAGTATTCCCATCACTTTGTCATCATAAATTGCCATTAAATGTATGTAAACATTCGCTCGGGGATTGTTTTATTACGTCAAATTGCATTCGTTTTTCAATTTAAATGTATTATTATAAGCTTTAAAAAAAATGATGTTATCGTTTTTGATACCTTTTTGAAGCTGGGGCCCTCGAGGGGGCCCTTAATTCTTTGGTCGGGGCCTCTCGCGCGTCGGGTCCCTACGTAAAAACGGCACTGCCGATGAATAACATATTTATATCTACAGTATGTCCGCGGATTGTCCTCATAAAATTTTTTGCTTGTTCTAAAATGGTAATTCCTGTTTATACTTTTCAAAATTTCCATACCGTTTTAGGTTTTAGAGAAAAATAACAAAAAATGAAAATTAATAGTAGTTAACGGTAGTTGAATTTTTAAACTAGTAAAAATAAAACGGGGGGGCCTTTCTATGGTAATATAATTTCGTGATAATTTTTTGATAGATTATTATTGACAGAACTTTAATTAATTTAAGTTATATTTTTTGCTGTTTTAAAATGTTATAGAAGCACAAAATTTATTTAGTTCAATGCTACGGAAAGGGTGATAATAGTTATCGGAAAATGTGACTTTAACATCAAAAAATATGACGTTAATCAAAATGAATTATAACGATCTATCAAAAAATGAAATCGAGAATGAAATCGAAATTATATATAGTCTGTCCAACGAGAAGATCCTTGACAGTGATAGATGCGTCTGTCATTTTAATTTCAAATTAGTTTATTTTATTTTACAAAGAAATAAGTTGGTACAACTGGAACGCATAACAGGAAATTAATATATTTAAAATTTGACTGACAAGTGATTACTTCAAAATATTGTGAAAAAAACTGTATAAAACTGAAAAAATGTAATCGAGTTATTTTATTTAATAAAAAACGGTATGTGTTAATACAAAACAAACAAGAACAAGATACCACATACCAAAAAATATAAAAAAGAACTATTTCTTACTTTCAAGCTTTATGAAACTTCCCGCATTTATGATTATATTTATCAATATAACTTATGTACAAATACAAACTTGTAATATTCCACAGGAATAAATAAAATAACATAAATAAAACAAACTATTTTATTAATAATAGCACCAAACCAAATTTTATACTTATTAATTAACTTTAATCTTAATTTTTTTAAACCAGTACCTTTTGACATTATTTTTCTGCAGTACTAAAATCCATTATTTACCTATCGTGTGATGTCGATATTTTACAGCTACTCCAGTTTTTAGTATGTGTTTAGTATGGTCCTTCTATCATATTCGAGATGCACTTATCTACGACGAGATGGTATACGAACTTTATTGATGGTAACTTTCTTTATTGAGGCAAGACTTTGACAAGCGTCAAAAATCTAAAGGCGAGTTCATACGCATCGGCGTCCGTTTGCCGTTCATCGTTCCGTCAAACCAATAAAATTGAAATACGATCTGTCATTTTTGAAATAAACCAATAAAACTGGTTAAAAACTACAAGAGACGACGTATGACGGATTTATATTTAAACCCATCCATAGTTAACTTAAAAATTATTAAAAACTTTTGTTAGTAAAATAAATAGATTGGTATGGGACGTCATCTGCTTTTCTTCTGTCATCGTCTGTCGAAATCTTACCTGAGAAAAAAAACAGAGTATACCATAGCGTTTTAATTTTTAGGACTTTTAGTTTTTTTAGGATTTTTTTTGGGGAAAAATTACATTAAAAAACTACATTTTTATGTTTTTTTTTATTTTTTCTAAAACGGTATGGATATTTAGAAAATTATAAACGCTATTTTACAACAAGCAAAAATTCTTATGAACGCATTTTTTTCAAAAAGTCAATAATTAAAAAGTTTTTCCTCTTGTAAAGACAATCCGGGGACATACTGACTGTAATATACAGAGTGTCCCAGAAATAAGTACAAGTATTTTACTGGTAGTATAGTTCAACCCCAGAAACACGTCTATGAGGTTTTTTTGCGCGAAAAAACAAATGAAAACTTCGGGAATTTTTTTAGTTTTTAGTTAAAAAACTTAATTTCTTGTTAATATGACAACATACATATGTTGTCATCATACATAGATTAAATTTACAGGAACAAATTTAAAAGAGCAAAAATTTTTTTTGTATATTTTCAAAGTAAAATAACACCGTTATTTTGGACATATTTAAAAAACGATAAAGAAAAAATAGGGTTCTTTTATCTACCACCCCTTAAAATACTTGCACTTATTTCTGTGACACCCTGCATATATATATCGTTTTTTATTACAATTAGTACAGTATATAAATACTTGAAATTTGTCAACCATTATTCATACGCCATTCAATCTTTACAAAATGTGCAGACCGGGGGCCACATTTAGCTTTGCCGCCCCGGGCCCCCGACAGGCTTAGTCCGCCACTGGAATGGGGTTAGTGTAAAATTCCGTAACAGCCCTGAAAGGGCACTTACCGTTAGGGTTAAGTTAGGTACTACTGGTGGTACTAGAGAGTATACTACTGGTGGTACTTTTTTACTTATATACAGTAATTTCAACAATTGACATACAAATAGGACTTTTTACGTAAGAAATATGCTCTTCGTTTACCATACCATACCATACCGCTATTACTCGCTGACGAGTATTTGACACGCATCAGAAGACGGTCACGCAAGGCGTTTTCTGTCATGAGCTTTTTTGTGACTGAAAAGCCCGATACGTGATGTTATCTGTCTACCGCACTCCAGACATTCAAAAATCTCATTGCTTTGTTGCTTCTTTACTTTTTGGTTGTCGCTGTTAACTGACTTTACAATTCTTCTCCATTCCGTTCTATTGTGAGCTGCCCCTTCCCACTCATTCTGCTTGTTAATTCCTTTTAAGTTTTCGTGGAAAATATCCTTGAACCTTTTGAGTTGTCCACCCGGCCTCCT